CTTTAATGTTCAAGATAAATAAATCATGATGGGAAAGGAGTAGGGCTGAAGTGAATACTTATCGGGTCCTATGCCCTCTTTTTCACATTTCATCAAAACCTTTTGTGAAATGCCGCAATACTCCAGTTTTCATCATAAACAGCTCAATCACAATCAGCAAACATAAACATTCATGACTGTGAGAGCAGGAATAAAAAAAAAGATTTCCTTAATGTGCTACTTCCCCTCCACAATCATCCACTTCATATGTTTTCAGTCAATAATACAAATAATAATAATTATTATTATTATTAGTTTTATAATAATGATAAACTTGTAAACTTGAAGAAGGAGCCCAACACTGATTCTGACACGTTGAACTCAAGTACTTTTTTCAGTACATTTAAGTCTGGTGTTCTATTTAGACGTTAGAAATGAACACTATGTTCAATAAATGCAAATCACTAAGAGCTAGCGGCTCTGGAACATACATTTGGCTGTATTTATGTCTGTACTTTCCTGGAACAACATTAGTCCACCCTCTGCTCTGAGCCTGTGCTGGACCTGCTGCTCTCTCTCACCCTGTCACAGGTACCCACACCAGTGGAGAGGGCTTCATGTACAGTCCCACTCATTTACACTTTTTCCTTTGAAAGAATAGTGCTTAATATGTTGGTATTTCTATGCAGCATTATTTAAAAAAATGTTCAGCTCATCGGCCTGCTATTAATTCAATCACTGAATAACACCTATACACAAATCTAAATACAGCTGTTGTAAATAATTTGCTCTATATGCACGCCAATCTAACCCTTAAGAGTGTACATGCAGTTCATCCATAACTACTTAAACACATTCGAGAAGCTGTTTAAGGTAATTAAAAAGTAATTAAAGACTATTGAAATCTTTTAAATTGGTGTAACTTACTGTCTTTTCTTTAAAGGGAACGCAAACTGAAACCATTGCACACGAGAGACACACAGATACAATTGATTTCCCAGCCAGGTTACACAGATAGACAGGCAGATAGGGAGACAGGCAATCAATTCATCAGCCAGCTAACGACACAAGCAGACGGACGAGCAGACCGGCAGGGAAATGAGTTAGGCGGTCTGTTCAGTGCCGGGCAGACAGGAAGACATTGTACCGCCCACTAATTTGGACAGGCCAGTCAACAGACTGAGGGACTTGGCGTTTAATCAGTCAGAGATGGAATAGACAAAGCAGAAATTAGAAGTGAAGCCAGTTTGCCATTCAAATGTGTTCATTGAAATTGAAATGAAAATTAAGACAAAAAATAATAAGTGGTCATTCATTTGTCCATAATAAATCCACTACAGCCAAAAGATGGGGTATGTTTTTGACAGCCTAGTTTAGATTCACCCTCTGAGCTTTTTGTCGTAGTAGTTGTGTATCTGGCAGTTCCAAGTTGTGATTGGGTCTAAATTTATGGATGTTGTGTATGAGATTGTTGAAAAAGAATGTGTACTATCAGCAAAAAAGCACAATTTAAACTTAAATTTAAAACAAGATGTTTCAGAATAATCTGGTAAATACTCCAACTGAAAATGCACAACGATGTAAGAAATGCTTTAAATGTGAGGAACACAGAAAAAACGACATGTACTGCAGGATCCAAGCACCACACTGCTGGCTCAGTCTGCTCGGTCAAAGAGCAAATGTTCAAATGCTGCCTCCCACTGTGCTGTCACATCTCTCTTCACTCACAGTCTTTGTTTCGCTCAATGCTGATAATCTAAATGAGAGACTTGAGATGCAGCCTGCTCTGCATCCTTTTAATAAAATAGAAGAAGAAACAAACACAGACATTTAACCTACATGCACACACAGCCTCGATAACAGAAGTACTCAGGTTGGGACTTCAAAGAATTGCAGCCCGACTACCCAACACAACTGCAGAGCCCCTATATCAAAGCAACAGCCCTAACAAGGCTCTTAGAGATGCACAAACAACACACATCCACCCATACACATACAGTATATCCACACAAGGTCCTCCAAGCTAATCTCTGAAAAAGAAACACATACACAGTTTGGCCGCCATTGTTTGAAGCCGGCTGTCTGTTTGACTGAAAGACAAAACCAGCTCACAGACATTGTTCTCTGCTCTTCCCTTCTTTCTCTCAGCCAAGGCCAATGCAATGTTTATTTTTCAGGATACATTTTCAAATCCATTGGTTTTGGTTCATCTGTGGAACAATTAAAATTAAAAATTCAAAAGTGCAAATCTTTTTAGACTTTTTGCAGAAATGCACTGCAGAGCATCGTGTATTTGTGCATCTTGGAAATGGGCTCAAAAGGATTTTAGGTTAAACTGTGCAGAGAGATCTGTGTTTTTTTAAATTATTATTATTTATGGATCTGCACCAATTATATTATTTCCTCGGAATAAATCTCACAATGTTAAAGGGAGTAAAAAATTATTCCTGGATCCACCCCTCGATTAGGATCAACACTAACATTTAATCAGTTAATTCCTGACCAATAACCCATCCTTCCACCATTTGTGTTAATCTATCAAGTAGTATTTGTGTGATACCGCTTAAAAACAAACAAACACACACAAGCAGATTAGATCATAATCTCCTTGGCGGATGTTATAAATATTCCTCATATAGCAGTTTTCCTATCTAGTTGATTCACTGTGGTGCCAATTTATGCTTGATTGCTGTGCACAAGGACAGCACAGGAAACATTTACAAATCTAACATGTGCTATACATTCATACTATAAAATAGATCCATACAAATAAACTTCTAAATAAATGTTCTTTTTATGTTCTATCTGATCTGTTTTTTATTTATTCATATCGTGATAGTGTCTTTAGTTTGAATAGACTTCGAAAGGACGACTTCGAACTGAATTTCATTGTAACAAACTGGTGCAGTGACAATACAGTTATCTAACTGATGAGCAGACAACCAGACATTAAAGTTCATTCACAGAGGTATTTGGACAATGGTCACTTGTCATTATTGTTATAATTGTTTTAAGCCATACCAGCTTCACCAATAGAAAAAGAAACACCATCACATATATAATATATGTATATATATATCCAATACAAGCATGAGTCAACGCTGACATTTGTGAAGAAAAATTACAGTTACCAATTCTCAAAGCATCAAGAAGATAATATTCTGGGTTTCCGCCTACTCCTCATGAGCTTCTGGGTGATTATTAACCACAAAACAAATGCCGTGAATAGTTGCTCGCACACAGTACTTGAAAAGAATGTGTGTGACACATCCTCTGTATTGTCAGATGAGTCATTAGCTGTGCAGACTATGCCCATATGAGTGCTGCTCCCATTTATTGCCACATTTTGTAATATGCAATATTTCAGGATGAAAATCTTTACAGTGAAAATGTGTGTGTCATCGAAAGTTGCTCGGCTGTCAGATGTGCTAAGGATTTATTGTTCGCTCGGTTTGAAAGTAGGAGAGGAAGTGAGTTCTTGTTCTGTTTGCAGCTGATCGGCTAAACGTCTGATCATCTTTGTCCACCTAAACTTCACATGTACAATGAAGTGTACTGTTTTCCAGTGGTAAAAAATAGACAACATAATAAATTGATTATTTTGGTTTGATGTGAACATTTCTTTGTATCATGAAACATCATGAATTCGGAGAAGTGGGCCACTTGGTGGTGCCAGCCTAAATGTGCATACATTTCTTCTGTATGTTGTATGGCAGAGTGGCAATGTGTATTAGTGCCTACATTCACATGACTGTAATTTCACAGCAGCACCAAGTACCACCTAACCACTCATCCTCTCTTCTACCCACTTTAAAGACTTTAGAAGGTTTTAATTTTTAACGCAACATTACATTTAACCTGCCCACACAGTGTGTTGTTAACAAGTAAGAACGCCTCCAGCAGCACGTTGTTTACAGAGCAGACATCCTCCATGTCTTAAAACCTAAACCTGAATGTTTCATTTATTGTTGATGCACTAAATGATCTGTATAACATATCCTTTAATGGGTAGGACAGAGTAAGCTTGTGAAGGGTGATAGAGACAGAGTGGGGGGGGGGGGACTTGTGTACATGGCCGCAGGTTGGAATCAAACCCAGGCCTCTGTGGGTTGAGGCCTGGCCTTGTTTGGCAGCAGCTCTACCAGGTGAACTATACGCCGCCCCAGATGGCAATTCTTTTAAAAGCTCTTTTTTTAAATCACTGTCTTAAACAAACAGTTTTGCAATGAACTTAAAAGATTTGACAGCATGATTTACTGTTACAAATTCAATTTGCTGCAATAAATACAGGATTACAGAGTTAAGTGTCAATATTGTCAATTAAAGAAGTCAAAATTATGCGCTTTTACATCTATGGCTCTTTGGCTGAAGTAGTCAGATGAGGATATAAGACATTTGTTCAATTGGAATATTACTGAAATGTAATTGACAACACCATGTTTTGTAGCATTGGATTATTTCACGGTAGTTGTTCAATATAGAATCAAGCCTGTTGGCTTGATAGTGAGTGTATGTACTGTTTGATGAACATGCTGTGTATCAATATTCCAGAGTCAATTTGTTGTCCAAACTGCATTTAGATTAAATAAATTGATTGTCAGCGTCAATGTCAACTAAATCATAAAGGGAAGAGAAAATAATTAACAGACTGCCCCCCCATCCTCCGCTGACTGTGTGTGTGAGGTCAGCTCAGAGGACACGCGACCTATCAATGAGAAATTAGTGAACATGTAAGACCGAGTTTCATTTTGTGCCATGTTTTTAATGCTGTGTTCCAACATTAATTAGTTTTCCATGCCTCATTGTTCTCAATTAAATGCAGAATTTAAAAAAAACAGCGACAGGACTGTGGGGAGAGTTACGCTACTGGAAGAACCCACGGTACATAAAGTGTTTAGCGGGCATTTGGACTGAACAACATTTGAAAAAAAAAAAGAAATCAGATTGTGAGACTGTTGTATCTGCTGACGTTGTTGCTCCTGAGCACAAACATCCAAAGCAACATATTATTTTAATCCTACCTTCTTGTACAGCCTGAAAGGGGTTGTTTCCATCGACAAACTCCACTGAAATGGTGATCTTCTCCGTCTCCAAGATCTCATTGTTCAAATTGAGATCTGCCACAGCAAGACGAAACACCTCGTCATCTTTCCGTGCTGACTCATCAAAGATGGCACCTGTTGAAAAAAGATAGACAACACAAAGGCAAAGATTAAGTCAGTATTAGAAACAATTTGGGAAAAGCAAAGCCGGTAGACATATAGAAATATAGTTATACTGTGGGTAGAGTAGGCAGCTAATTAAGTTGACCAAGGGTCAGGCAATGTTTTACTAACGGTTGGTTTATCTTTATAGCAACCATAAAGTTGTGAAACACAATATACAGAGTTTAAAATATCAGGATTTACATTCAACCTATCAAACATTCTTTCTCATTAGCATGTTCCAGCTGACCACAAGAGAAAAAGGCAAGATTTAAACACAGTTTTGTCTGTTATACCTGGAGAAACATTTGTGTTTATGAAGTTGTTCAGACCTGGTCTTCACAATCACAAGTGGTCAGCTCTAAGTTTGGGTCTGAAAGCATCGATATGTGTCTGTGATCCTATGATTCAGATCACATACAGAGTCTGAATATCCAAGTCAGGTCTGTGATGTGTCCTGGGCCACAAACAGTACGAAGGACCACCAAATCAAATAATGTCCTCTGACCCACTAGAGTAATACAAACATTTTATGCTTCTCAGTGTCCATACATTGATTTGTTTGTGGTCACCACTCCCTGACTCCGCTCACTTTTTATCTCTATCTATCTCTCTCTCTCTCTCTCTCGCTTGTGCCAACATAGATACAAACACAAATGTTGTCATCGGACACGTGAATGCACAGACAGGGTAAAACAACCGCATTCACAAACATTAATGATGGTCATTTTTGAAGTGAGATCCAATAACAAATGGTCACAAGAGACACATTCAGGACACATTTTATTGGCAGGTGGGAAGAGACATGGTTGGAGCTGTCCTCTTGGGATCAGATCACTCGCAACAGACGTTAATACCAGGTCTGAACAGGGCCTAAGGGTTGCAAGCGATTGATGACCACCTGAACACAACATCTGGAATACATGAGATTGTCACTTGATAATTAGCTTGAAAGCTCCTTTTAACATCTGACCAGCTTGTGGGAGTAGTAGTAGGATACTGAGGCTAACAGCCGTTGTGTTCTCCAGATTCGAGAGAGAAAGTCCTCACTGAAGAGGAGCCATTGCTGGGTTGACATCTGTGCTTATTCTAAGGTCAGCCTCAGCCTGAAGGCGAGCTAACTCAAATGATTACTGCACAAAAGAGAAATGGAAGAAGAAAGGACGGGTGTGTGCCAGCGTGGATGATAAAGTTCCCACTAGTTAATACTAAATTATTCATTGAAATAAATGTCAGCCTTTAGTGTTGTTGGTGAGACGGCAGAATGAGGCACCATGGGATGTTGAGTGGCTGGTGGAGATCTAGTCTTCTGCTCTGGTTTGTTACACACAATTTACAGTGTGTTATCTTTTTTTTATCTCTCTCTTCCCTCTTAGCCTCATTTCAGCCCAGTTTATCCCCGGAATCCACTGGACGACTAATTGTGTAAGCCAGCGCGATGAAGCACCACTAACTGTATTTCACTGACCAGAAAATAAGCCTTGTATTGTAAAGTGTGTAAAGTGTGTAAAGTGTGTAACGTGTGTAACGTGTGCGTGTGTGTGTGTTAGACACAGGTTGCGAACTCCATTAATGACCATGCAGACTACATTGGCTGAGGGCTGTTTTGTACCGCACTTAGAGGACTGTTGCTATAATTGGTCTTGCATAGTTCAATAGGCAAAGTCTGCTGCTAATACCACAAAGGCTATGATCTGATTTCCCACAGTGGCCCAAGTTACTGAGAAAATAATGTTTCCTGGTGGAGCAAAGTGTGGATTAAATTGTGCTGAAAAAAAATAAAAAATAGTATGTACATCAATTGAATGTGATATTATTAGTACTTGTGTCTGAGAAACCCGGAGCAGGTTACTGTGGTGTAATTAAACTGCATAAAACAGTACATTGCACTGACACCAAAGAGTCTGCGGACAAATTTTAATCTGGAAAACCCAGATCCTACTGTACCCCCCTCAAATTAACTGTTGATGATATTAAACTTCTGGAAGAAAAAATCATTTCAGCACATGCAACAAATTCAAAACAGCTGCTGCTCTAAGGCATTCAGGAACAGTATATTGTAATAACTGCCTCTTCATCATAAGGCCTCATGAAATATGTATCCTTCAATAATTTGATCCATCAGAATTTGGCAGCTATAAATAACCACCCACTGATTGATTCCTGGTGGTTTTTTATCATCATGCAATATAGATGAGGTGAAACAAACAAGTCTGGACAAAGTGATACAGAGTGAAACCCAGAGACTAATTAACTATTCCTGTGGAGATAAATCATGAATGATACAATGAGTTTGGAAGATGCTGCTGCAGGGGAAGAGTTTGTACACCAGAGGAGAATGTTATGTTTTTTATGTCTGGAGGACAAATTCATGGTAGAGAAAGATGATTGTGTGTACAGCTTTGAACTAATGCTTTGAAGAGGACATTCAGACAAAAGGTTGGGGACGTTTTTCTTTACTAGTTTGTCAAATCACTTGAGTTCACTTGCTTTTGCACGGAGACAAGAAGCAGGGAAAAAAAACAAACAAACACTCTGTTGGTCCTTTTAATCTGACTTCCACGATGGAGTTGCCATAGTAACCCCTCCTCGTGCTTTCAGACACATGTTTAAAGCTTCACCGTGCTGTACACAAATCTATGCATATTGGTTGTTTTATTATTTTCTCTCTGTGAAACATCCCACCAGCAGTGTGTCACAAAAGAATATTCAAGTGGAATATCTGCTGTATTACATCTTTTAATCAGTAATATGCCTTTCCTCATTTTGTCTCTTCCATCCATGAGCTCCTAAACACTCACTCAATCTTTTTCTTTCTGTGTTTGTCGGCTGTTGTACCTTTGCATTGAATTGTCAGCTACGTGTGTGTGTGACTGAAAACCCACACTCTTTAATCTAGGTACAGTGAGCAGGCCCACAGACAGAGCACAGTCATGAAAAGCAGCAGGTGAGGGTTAAACTGAAGAAATGTCAATCCCATTATATAAAAACTGAATGAGTTGATTCTGAATGAGTACGTATATAAGAGTGTGTGAATTAGTATTCTGCTATTTTTATTTTAAGAAATCCATATGTAATGAATGTTTGTTGTGAGAAAGAAAAGGGAATTGGAGAGAGAAGGACCTCTGCCGCTCTCTGCCAGTTGCAGCAACATCACTGCATGCTGATTCAAAAACGCCAATGTACACACGCGCACTCTCGCACACGCACACACTCCTTTCCAGTACTTTCCAGTAATGTGATTGTGAGCGCAAAGGCAAACGTCACAACATAAATCAAGCAGGAAATAAAAGCAGTGAATCTTGTTTTACACAGACGCCCCAAGGACAGGCACGCACACACACAAGCGCGCACACACACACACAGAGCATGTAGGCAGCAGCTCTAAATCTGTTTCAAAACCATCATCAACAACAGTGGTCAGTTTGAATGGATGCAGCATCCAAGAGTTGACACCCCAGATTATTGGGTCTAGGGGCATTGATCAAATGTCCACCAGTGGTCAAGTGCTCGGTATTCATTTCCCAGTTTGTTTACATTGATAAAGAGGCAATAGATAACTTGTTTGTCTACTTACTGCCAAATAACCACACAGGGAGGCTCAGGGATGCTAAGGGTGGAAAACAAATGAGGATGAGACAAATAATTGATAAGTCTGTCATCAAAGTTTTCTTCCACAGTCTTTCATTGCGCTCAATACGATTTTAGAATCCCAGTAATCATAGCTTTGACATATTGTCTGCTCTTTATTGACAACATTTGCTTTTGATTAGAAAAATTCATCACCTTCAAGTTTTAAACGTTATTTAAGGACAGATGATGAAGATGTAAATAGATGTAGAGCTGCATCAACAGAACATGACCTCAGCTCTTTCTGAGTGATTTAAAAATTGCAATGTGCATTACATTAAATAGAATAATTTACATAACAGGCTCTTTGATATTTCCCAATGATACAAGGGATGAAAGTATGAAACATGATTTAATATTTTCATGAAACGGACAGATAAACTGTACAAATGACAAAAATCATGCAAGATGAAAGGATGATAACGGGCTAAAGAGTCATTATGTGGAAGAGCTGGTCTTCTCAGTGCTTTCATATCGTTATATTTATGATGGTCATGCTCAGGTATCCAAAAAATAAGACTTTTATTGACACAACTTTGGTTATAGGCTAAGGCTACAACCATGCTAGAAGCTGTGTGGCTGTGTTAAGGCACAGTAATGCCTGTTGCCAAAACATCAGCATGCTATGGTAATGATGACAAGCTGATGCTAATGTTTGTTTACCACATTTGCCACTGTAGTTATGTGTAGGCATGATACAATTATCCTTGAATATCAAGTTCAGCTGAGGTGATGCTAAAGTGGTTTTGTCTCCTTTAAAAACCCGTTAAAAACTTGTTTTATTTGATTTTACCTCAAGCAGGTCAAATGTAGGTATTAAATCATTAGATATAAGAAACACTGGTATATTAATCCCAAACATTTTTTAAAGTGGAATAATTCATAGAGCTCAGAAATCCCAGTAACTACACAAAATTAGATAATGTCATTCATACAGACAAAGGGACATTGTTGAATGTACAAAACACAGCTCAATTTCCTTCTTAAATGAACAAATTAGGATGGCACATCATCCACTGCAGTTATTATGTTCCCACATTTCGTAAAGACTCGATAATTAAGCCGGCTCCTTCTCGGGATAATCGTTCAGCATGAGGAATGAAGGAATGGATTTATGAGCGATTGAATGTTAAAGGGGAGGGCAACATGTCGGTCAGATGAGGTCATGACAAATGATAGAAGTCAAACGGTTGCAGCAAAATTATTTGTTTTCAGGTTATTTGCAAAAAAGAATTTGAAAAGGTAAAACAGCTGAGTGCTGCAAAATAAAACCTCTCCATCTAACTGTACACCTGCCTTCTGACCTTTCACCCTCATTCACTCAAGCTGCTCTCTTTGTTAAC